AGTTCAAGTTCTGAGACTGAAATCGTTTTTACTATGAGGAGTCGGCCATGTAGTCTTTTCGATGACACCCTCAAATCACTTTTGCCTCAGTATCTTCAGCTGGAAAAGTTTGGTTTTCTAAGGGCCTCGGACATCAAGTTGTTTTAAGCTTATTGCGAGGTCAGCCATCTAGTATGAAGCGAGAGACATATATTCTAGTAATTTCAAGTACGGACTATCCGAATCCGCTTTCAAAAATTTGGGCTTCATAAAGGATGGAAAACTCATATGGGTTCTCTAGAAAATCTTCAAACATCTTGAAATTTTCCTTTAATTGCATAGTTGAAAAGAGCGAAAAATTCTGAACAACAATGATGTATCGATCATAATTTTCTGGCTCTGTCAAAGGTGGAAATTCGACGACTCAAAAATCAGATTTTTTTTGGAAAACCTTTTATGGACAAACTTTGTTAGTATGAACGCTGAAATATTGTGCAACACAGAATTTTGTTCGGAATTTTTCGCTCTTTCCAACTATGCAATTAAAGAAAAATTTCAAAATATTTTTGAAGGCTTTCTGGGGAACCCATGTGGATAAAAGTGATTTGAGGGTGTCATCGAAAAGACTACATGGCCGACTCCTCATAGTAAAAACGATTTCAGTCTCAGAACTTGAACTAAGTAAGATACAGCACTTTTATTTTTCGTTTCCATTTTTTGGATGCTGAATTTTTCATCGAGAGGACTTCAGAAAATCACCTATAACTCTGAGACTAACTCCGGAGAAGTTGAACATTTGGATTTGTGGGAGAAACAAATCGTTTAGTTCCCTCTGGTTCTGTATTAACCCCTATTCGTTTCTTTTCATTTGCATCATTGTATTGTATTTTTCGTTACTTGAAAGCCTAGAAAATTCAATTGAAAGAAAAAATAAGGAGAGATGAACATCTTTTGGAGTCGGAGCCGGATGTAAAAACTCTAGGGGAGGCGCCTAAGTCTAAGCGAGGGTGTAGCCGAAGCCGGGAGGGGTCTGACCTGCCAATCTCATCATGAGACTACTTTGAAAAGAATCCGAGGCATTGATTGAGCATGGCTCGATGGAAAGCAGTCGTTTTTTTCATACAATGACTGATATGCAAGTCACTAACCGTCGTCATATTGCACAAATAACCAGTATCTCAAATAATGATGGATTAGCAACTTTCAAACATATCAAAATCTTCTTATAAAGCGAATGTGGAACATTGTTTTGTATCGAATTGTTATTGCTTGTGACTGACTAGAGAAATGTTACCAAATTACTCTTCTAAGTGATTTTACAAAGATTTGCAAAGAATAAGTACACGAGCCTGATAGTTGGTCATTAATATCAATGTTCAGCATGAACAGTTACATATAGCTAAATAATATTTTCAATATCGACACTCAAAAATTTACTTGGTGTTTGATTTCAGATATTTTTGAGCTGGATAAATCACACACGCTCACAGTAGTAACCTTGAAACTAAGGTCATATTACAACCTTTTGAGCCCTATTGAATGAGTTACTCAAATATTTCAAAATATTTAGTTATAGTATAACGATCTTGTTCTATACTCAATTTTTAAAAAGAAGTCAATTTTGTGAGGTCTACCTACCACTTTCTGCGTGAGATGCTGTGTGAAAGAGTCCCGGGAGGACACCAGTGTTTTGACTTGTCTGAAATTCAATAACTTGAGAATGAACAATGCCTTGTGAATAATTGGGGCAGATATTTGGTGGTTGAAGAAGGAAAGATATCGTAATAGACGTAGTGATGGCAAAACATGCAACAGAAGAATGCTCATATCTAGATAAGAATCAAAAGTAAGCATTTGGAAGAAAGAGCCCCAGTATGCCTCAAAACTAAAAGAGAAATGAATTACCGCCGACTATTGTAACGCCAGAACTTGCATTTTGTTTCCACTTTTGAATGCGATGATTGTGCCTATCAGCAACATAAACAATATCATTATCATCAACAAAGACTCCACGAGGCTCATTTAATGAATCTGCAGCAGTTCCGTATGTTCCATTTGAATTTCCTGCAACTGTTGTTCCAGTTTTTGATCCTGGAGTGAATTTTTGTATACGATGATTGTCTGTATCAGCAACAAATAAATTACCAAAACGATCAACAAAGATATGATGAGGTCCGTTCAGCTGACTAGCAGATGAATTTTGACTATCTACCTCACCAGCAACAACAGTCAATATTTTTGTTTCTAATGCAAATTTAACAACACGATGTCTTTCTCGGTCAGACAAATAAAGTTCATTATTATTTTCGTCGAGATAGAGACCTTCACAACTGTAGCAACCGCTATGAGTTGAGTTAATAATTGTTTCTCCAATTCTACTGTTTTCTAACCATTTTTGAACACGCTGATTTCCAGTATCACTAATATAAATATCATTATTCTTGGTGACGTAAATAGCATGTGGATGATCTAATTGGGATAGTGAATTTCCTTTACCGTTTCCGCCTGCAACTGTTGTTCCGTTTTGGGATCCGAAAGGGAATTTCTGTATACGATGATTTTTTACATCAGCTACATAAACATTTTTCTTATCATCGACAAATAGATCATTGGGATGATCTAATACCAACGACTCTGGACCGGATGCTCTAGACCCTATTCCAGCGATTGTCTGACCATATTCAGTCCACCTAAAACAGTGTTGATCTTGCACTATTCTTAAAATCACAATGGTTGCAACAACACTAGTTGCAACTAATATTAAACCAGCTATAGTAAATACAACTTTCAATGGTAATTTTTTAACTGCTCGATATGCCAAGTTTTTGGCTAATATTTGTTGTATTTTTTCAGGGTTTTTAAAATTTTCTTCTTCGTTGTAACCTTCATCACAACATTCTTCTAATTCTATCTCAATGGAAACAGCA